TCTAAATTCTCCCCTGTCCATCGGGTACAAAACCCAAGCCCCACCCCAACATCGAAATGTTTAGACAGCTCAGAATGTGGAAATTGGAAATTGACTTAGAGCTTAGATGGAAGACCCCAGTCATTGGTTTAGCCTCATTGATTTGATCCAGTCATTGGTTAGACCCATTGGTTCAGAAGCATTGGTTTGACCCAATCATTGTTTTAGACTCATGGTTTGATCTAATCCTTGCTTTAGACTCTTGGTTTGACCCAATCATTGGTTTAGACCCATTGGTTTGACCCAATCATTGGTTTAGACCCATTGGTTTGACCCAATCATTGGTTTAGACCCATTGGTTGAGACTCATTGGTTTGACCCAATCATTGGTTTAGACCCATTGGTTAAGACTCACTGGTTTGACCCCAATCATTGGTTTGATACAATCATTGGTTTAGATTCATGGTTTGATCCAGTAATTGGTTCAGACTCATTGGTTTGACCCAGTCATTGATTAAGACTCATTGGTTTGAGTATAAACCAGTAGTTCTCAGACTCTTTCTGACTATACCCTCAACCCCTACCTTTTACCAGTGGACCCCTAGTCTTGTGCCCTGCTCCCTCATTTACATGATTTTCACCTGAGGCTCCTTTTGGAATGTTCTAGAAGATCACACAGCCTCTAGTTGAGAATTGCTGGTCTAGAAGAAACAGTCACAAACTGACTTGATCTATACCCCCTTTACACGTATGTTTATACATATGAAATCCCCACTGTATTTCATATAGATTGCACTTTCCTGTATATATTTTTTTTAATTTTCCCCCGTGTATATTTCATGTCATTTCTTGTTTCCTGGTGGGGAATTGGCTCTCTGGGTTCTGAGGCCACAGCTCCTAGTGTCCACTCACCCTGGGTACTAACTCCTGGGCTTGGTCAGGCTTCTGGTGGCCAGACCAGTGCTGGGGCCACCTTCTGACCTGGAGTCATTGAATCAAAGCCTCTGGGTCTTCTTACTGGAGCTTCTTTCTGACCATTATGCGTCAGGTTTTGCCCTGTGGTCCCCGAAGTCCAGATGAGGGGGTCTAGGGGGGCGCCGGTGGTCAGCCCAGAAAGCTCTCTCAGTTTCAAGTCCTTGACGTGCAGGTGTGATGGCTGCTGGTTCCTTCAATCCTGCCAACTGTTTCATGCCTTTCCGGGGTGGTAACAGTGTTTCAACCATCAGGTTCTGGAAGAGATTATTTTGGATACAGTGTTGATTGCTTGTTTAGGATATGTATCAATTTAGGATACTTTGTTGCACACTTGATTATTTAGGATACTGTGTTATTTAGGATATGTATTTAGGATACTTTGCCCATTTGATTGTTTAGGATACTGTATTAAGTATTTAGGATATGTATCAGTTTAGGATACTTTGTTGCCAGTTTGATTGTTTAGGGTACTGCCTTGTTTAAAATATGTATCAGTTTATGATACTTTATTGCCCATTTGATTAGGATACTGTTTTATTTAGGATATGTATCAATTTAGGATATGTTGCCTGGTTTGATTGTTTAGGATACTGTATTATTTAGGGTATGTATCAATTTAGATTGATACATATTTAGGATACTTTGTTGCCCCTTTGTTTTTCTAGGATGCTATGTCTCTTCTTTAATTGTTTAGGATATTGTGTTGATTGTTATAAGCGCATTTAAGGGCATGAAGGTGCAAAGCGTTGATTACTTCGTGACTTTTTTTTCTTTCTCAAGATCTGAAAAAGGGTTGGGTTCTGTGCTTGGGAGTTTCTCTGTACCAACACTAAACACTCCAGCCCCTGTGCAAAAATAAAACGGGGGTGTTGGAGATTAGAATATAATACCAAGCTTTATTGGCTTAGGAGGACCCCTGTCCACGAGCCTGCAGGTAAGGAAGGAAAGACAGGATTTTGTCAGGACTGGTTTTTTATTTCTCCATCCAGACCATGGCTGGGTTCTGCCTTGCAGCTGCTGTCCAGCATGAGGTCTGGTTCGCGGACGCTGCTCTCCTGTTCGGGGAGATGCAGTGCCCCTCCGGCGAGAGGACCCACGTGCTTGATAATCGAAGATGGATTGGCGCAGGCTGCAGACAATAGGCGAGCTTTGGTCTGCCCGGCTGCCGGCTGGCGTCAGAGCTGTTCTCCGGGGTGCGCCCTCTTCCGAGTGTGATTCTGTTCTCTGAACTCGCTCCCCTCGGGTCACTGAGCCAGACCCTGAGAGAACACGAAGTTATTAGAGCAAGTCAGATTCTAGAGGATAGCGGAGCCGTTGCACGCTGCGTAACTGCAATTTTTATTGTTTTGGTTTGTTTGGGGCCACACCCGGCGATGCTCAGGGCTGACTGCTGGCTCTGCACTCGGGGATCACTTCTGGCAGTACTCGGGGGACCCTGTGGGATGCAGGGACTCAAACCCGGGTTGACTGCGTGCAAGGCCAACACCCTCCCTGCTGTCCTATCGCTCTGACCAGGCACACACTTCATTCCTTACCTATGAGACATCGCGGGCTGTGAAAACTCAGGCTTGGGGACCAGCAGACAGGGACTGGGGGAGGGGAACATCACTGTGTGTAAGACCCCCGGGGCCCCAGAGCTGCCGGGATCCAGGAGTTAAGGGTCTCATTGTGACCCAGTGAACTTTGGCACAGTTCTGACCTCAGCACTCATATCTCAGATTTTATCATATATTCTGTGTGGTGTGCAGTGTTGCCCTCATGTAAATGTTACTGTAATTAGCCTGATTCGTACTGAGAAACTTGAAGGTTTTGTTTTTTTTTTAATTTTTTGCAAAGCTTTCTCTTAAGCATGTAAAGAAAGTCACCCTCAGTCGTTACCGAGACAGGGGGCTGCAAGGGACCCATCTCCCTGGCCCCTTGCTCCATAGTGGCCCCTCAGGTCCTCATAAGGGCAGTTCTCCCAAGAGTCTGTCCTAGAACTTGGAGCCGTTGTACAGTTGATTTCAAAAACAGCTGTGAACTATGGGCCGCCTCCCTGATCTCCCACCGACAAAAATGAGGGTGTAGTCAAAGGCTTCTGGACACACAACTAGACAACAGGAATTCAGGCTTTCCTCCCCCATCGTGAAGGGGATGGTGGGCTTCACCCTGGGTGCTTTTTGTGGAGGGAGGTGTTGTGAAGGAGACCACTTAAGAAGTTTGAGTCTACATCATTTCTTTTCTTTTGAAATTTTTATTTAACTAATTTTGGCTTTGGGGCCACACTTGGCCATGCTCGGGACTTATCCTGGGCATCTGTGCTCAGAGATCACTCTGGGAGGGTTTGGGGGGGACAATCCAGAGTGCCAGGGATGGAACCCGGCTCGCTGTCTTTCTGAGTTAATTTAGGGATGGCTTTTAGGAATATTTCTTTTTCTGGGGGTGGAGTGTCCTCACCTAGCAGTGCTCAGAGCTTCTGCCTCTGTGCTCAGGGATCACTCCAGGTAGAGCTCAGGGGACCTTGTGGGGTCCCAGGATCGAACCTGCATTGGCCATGTGCAGGGCAAATGCCCTCCCCGCTTTGCTGTCGCTCCAGACCCAACCAGCTACTTTTAAATGTTGGCACCTGGGGCTGGAGCGATAGCCCAGTAGGGAGGGTGTTTGCCTTGCATGCGTCCGACCCGGGTTCGATCCCCAGCATCCCATAGGGTCCCCTGAGCACCGCCAGGAGTGATTTTACTGAGTGCATGAGCCAGGAGTCAGCCCTGAGCATCACCGGTGTGACCCCAAAAGAAAAAAAAATTGTCGGCACCTGGGTGAGGTGCTGGAGAAAGAAAAGACTTTCCAGAAAGTCTCTGAGCTCCGGGAACAGAAGTGGGATTTCAGTGGCTGAGCTTGACTCAGTGACAAATTTCATAGCAGGGGCTTCAGTCAAACCCAGCGTGTGGCCGACCCCGGCACCCCATAGGGTCCCCTGAACCCCTCCAGAAATGGTCCCAGAGCACAGAGCCAGGAGGATGTTCTCCCAGTTCTGGCCCCCAAAAAAACAAAAGAATTCCACACCAGGATCAGGGTCCTGTCCACTAACCTGTCCCTCTCGCCCTCTGTCCCGTCCTTCCTGTGGTTTACCCGTTAGCTGGTCTCGGCATGACTCAGAGCCGAGTTTGACCTTGCTTGGCCCACATGTGTGCCTGGCCGTGGAAACTTGAGGAGCCGTGATACCCTCGTGAGTGGGTACCGGGACACAGACCAAGGTCACGGTCAGTTGAAACTTGGGCAGCTGGTTCTCAGCTGTGACCAGGTCCTACCTGGTGCAGAGGGGAATGCCCTGTTTGCTTGTCCGTAGGTTCTCTCTCTCTCTCTCTCTCTCTCTCTCTCTCTCTCTCTCTTTCTTTCTCTTTCTTTCTGTCCTTTCTTTTTCTTTATTTCTCTTTTCTTTCTGTCCTTTCTTTTTCTTTCTTTCTTTCTTGCTTTCTTTTCCTTTCCTTTCCTTTCTTTCTTTCTGTCCTCTTTCTTTCTTTCTTTGTTTCTTTCTTTCTTTCTTTCTTTCTCTCTCTCTCTTTCTGTCCTTTCTCCTTCCTTCCTTTCTTTCTTTCTTTCTTTCTTTCTTTCTTTCTTTCTTTCTTTCTTTCCTCAAGGGTTATTCCTGGCTCTATGCTCAGGAATCACTCCTGGTGGTGCTCAGGGGACCCTATGGGACTCCAGGGATTGAACCCGGGTTGACTGTGTGCAAGGGAAAAAGAACTGTAAGACTTCAAGAATCTTATGGAAAGGAGCTGGAGTGATAGCACAGCAGGGAGGGCATTTGCCTTGTACATACTGGACCCGGGTTCGATCCCCGGCATCCCCTAGGGTTCCCCGAGCACCGCCAGGAGTGACTCCTGGGTGCAGAGCCTGGAGTCAGCCCTGAGCATTGCTGGGTGTGGCCCTCAAATAAAGAACAAAAACAGAAACGAACCTCAAATACAGGCCCCGGGGAAGCAGATGACAAATCCAGGCTTGCCCTCACCACTGGCCAAGTTACCAAAGTGTCTTTTTTTCTTTCTTCTTCTCTTTTCGGTCCTCAGATGAGTATAGGATCAAGCCCGTGGAAGAGGTCAAGTACATGAAAAACGGGGCAGAAGAGGAGCAAAAAGTCGCCGCCAGGAACCAAGAGAACTTGGTAAGAGAAAGACAGTGACGGGGCGGACAGACAAAGCCTGCAGTTTGAACGACCCTTTCCACGCGGGGCTAAAGGTTTCCTGAGGGTGCTGAGCTCTTTATGGCTTGCCTGGACACTGCAAGTCCCTGTCTCTTGTCCGGTTGGGCGCAAACCTTCTGTCCTTAGTTGTGGTAGAAAGTATGCAGGTGGTGTTTCAAAAACCCGCGAGGAAACGCACAGAAATTTGGGAATAAGCGCCCTCTCCTCTTTTCTTATACAGTTTTGGGGTTTTGGGGCCATTCCCGGCGATGCTCAGGGGTTACTCCTGACTCTGCACTCCTGGCGGGGCTCAGGGAACCCCATGGGATGCCGGGACTCAAACCCGGGTTGACTGAGTGCCAGTCAACCTATTCTACTGGCCCCCATTCTACTGTTTTTTTTTTTCAGTTGTTGTTTGTGTTTTCAATGGGGGCCACATTTGGCAATGCTCAGGGCTGACTCCTGGCTCTGCACTCAGGAATCACTCCTGGTGGGACTCGGGGGACCCTGTGGGATGCCGGGGATCGAACCTGGGTCCGCCGCATGTAAGGCAAGCGCCCTCCCCGCTGTCCTATCACTCCAGCCCGCTACACTTTAAAAACGGTAACCCAGGGACTGGAGTGATAGCACAGTGGGGAGGGCATTTGCCTTGTACCTGGCTGACCCAGGTTCGATTCCCAGCATCCCATAAGGTCCCCTGAGCACCACTGGGAGTGAATCCTGAGTGTATGAGCCACAACACTAAACTCATGTTTAAAAAAAAAAATCTGGGGGCTAGAGCAATAGCACAGCGAGTAGGGCGTTTGCGTTGCATGCGGCTGACTCAGATTCGATTCCCAGCATCCCATATGGTCCCCCGAGTACCGCTAGGAGTAATTCCTGAGTGCATGAGCCAGGAGTAACCCCTGTGCATTGCCGGGTGTGACCCCCCCCAAAAAAAATCTAAGAAAAACTGTAACCAAGACCAGGAGGAACCCAGAGTTTCATAGGATCTTTGCAGGTGCTTCCTTCCAAAGGAATCTGATGTCCTTGGAAAATAGGTCACCCTCAAGACAATACTTAAGAGTCTCTTGGTGCAGGGGGTGTGCGTTAAGCCGAGAGTTATTTTTGTTGTTGGTTTGTTTGTTTTATTGGGGGTTGGGCGGTTGGGAGCATACCAGTGAGGCTCAGGGGTTGTTCATGGCGTGTTTGTGGGAGTCAGTCCTGGTGGTGATGGGGGCGCACGTGTGCACATGTGCGCGCGCGCACACACACACACACGCACACGCACAGAGTGCTGGTTCTGCATGCAGAGAGTATGTGCCAGGAAATTGAGCTGCTGTTCAACCTCAGAACTATTAGGAATTTAAATTTTATACTCCTGAGGCTGGAGCGATAGCACAGCGGGGAGGGCGTTTGCCTTGCACGCGGCTGAGCCGGGTTCGATCCCGAGCATCCCCTAGGGTCCCCCGAGCACCACCAGGAGTGATTCCCGAGTCATGAGTGAGGAGGAACCCTAAAACACCCCTGGGTTGTGGCCCCCAAACCGAACAATAAAATAAAATGCAGTACTGCGTAGGATCCTGTTTTGGTAAAATAAAACAACTTAGCTTGAGGCCAGAGCGATAGCACAGCGGGGAGGGCGTCTGCCTTGCACGTAGCCTACGTGGGTTCGATCCCCGGCATCCCATAGGGTCCCCCGAGCATCGCCAGGGGTGATTCCTGAGTGCAGAGCTGGGAGTTAGCCCTGAGCATCACCGGGTGGGACCCAAGAAGCAAAGTAATAATAATAATAATAATATTGGGTCCATCACCCAGTTCAGCACCTTAATATCTGATCCATCCATAGGGGCTGGAACAATAGCACAGCGGGGAGGGCATTGGCCTGGCACGCAGCCAACCTGGGTTCGATCTCCGGCATCCCCTAAGGTCCCCTGAGCACCGCCAGGAGTGATTCCTGAGTGCAGAGCCAGGAGTCAGCCCTGAGCATTGCCGGGTGGGACCCAAAATGAAAACCGAAACTAAAAGACTGAAGTCTTCCTTCTCCAGATTTGTTGCACTAGCTTCGTTACTTTCGTTCTTCATGATCGTCATCCTCTGTGAGGCCTGGTTTCATCTTTCGTTGTTTTTCTCATGTGTGACCCACAAGTCTCAGAGCATGTGGCCCGACGGGGGCAGGTCAGGGCTGAAGCCACGGTGAGACTCCTCAGATGGGACATCTGGATTGAGCAGGGTCGAGCCCAACGCTGGGCTGGCCGGTGGGCTGGAGGGAGTTTGGGTTTATTCCTGGGGGAGGTGACAATTGTGTGAGGTTTCGGGGGCCGGGGTGGAGGGGCACGTTGTAAATCAGCAGCTGCAGGTGCTCTGGGGGGTCATTCAGAGGCCAAGTTCATGCTCATGGTCCCGTGGGCCCTGGAGACCCCAGCCCAGCAACATCTGGCTTCGCTCTGAGCCCCCAGGTTTCTTCAGCAAGACTCTTGGCAGGCTTCAGGCCCTCAGGCCCTCTTCCTGGGTCTCTCCCTCCCTATCCCTCTCCTCCTTCCCCGACCCCAACCGTCCACAGATCTTGCTTCTACAACTCTCAGCTGTGGGGCCGCTTCTGTTCTCCTCTCTTGCCTTAGTTCAAAGGTCAGCACTCAAAGGGAGAGCACGCAAAGGAAAGGGCTGAGCAGACACGCAGATGACAAAGGGCAGAGACCTGGGGGCCACAGAGAGCAGCTCCCGGGGCTGGAGGCCTCCTCTGTGTATGAGACACCCCCCCCCACACACACACAGTGCCTGGAACGCTGAGCCACCAAATGGATGTCACCCCAGAGCACTCCCAGATATGACCAAACACGCCCTTGATTTGGGAGGGTCCCACCTGGCAATGCTCAGGGCTGACTCCTGGCTCTGCACTCCTGGCAGTGCTTGGGGGACCCTATGGGATGCCGGAGATCGAACCTGTGTTGGCCGTGTTCAAGGCAAACGCCTTCCCCGCTTTGCTGTCACTCCAGTCCCCTGAGACGCCTGTTAATGGCACCTGCTGATGGAGATGGTGGTGGCAGGGAGGTCAGTGGGGGGGAGGCCCATGTGAGAGTACCTGGTGCTGTGGACAGGAAGATGCCAATGGCCCGGTGGTGGATGGCGTGGACATGGGGGGCAGGCAAGAACGGGGAGGGGGTGAGGACACTTGATTGTGGAGATGGCATCAAGACACGGTCGTGGTGACGGCGATAAAGCTGCTGGTGAGGATGAGGATGGTGGCGATTGTGATGGCGGTGCCAACGGTGGTGATCATGTTGGTGATGGCAGTGTTGATGGGGATGATTGTTAACCTACATTGGTTAGTCCTTTCGATGATGGTGTGTTGGTGGTGCTGATATTGATGGTGTTGATGGTGATGATGGCAGTGTTGATGGTGATGGTGGTGATTGGCAGTGTTGGCCGTGGCGATGAGGTTGAGAATGGCCATGAGGGTGGCGGTAACCGCACTGGTGATGGAGATGGTGGTAGGGGATGTCGTGTTGGTGATGCCACTGTTGATGGTGATGATGGTAACGTTGGTCATGATGAGGTTGAGGATGGTGGGGATTAGGATGGTGACACCAGTGGTGGTGGTAATGATGGTGGTGCCAGTGTTGATGGCGGTGATGGTGGTGATCATGATGGCGATGCCAGTGTTGATGGTGATGGTCGTGTTGGTGATGCCAGTGTTGATGGTGATGATGGTAACGTTGGTCATGATGAGGTTGAGGATAGTGGGGATTAGGATGGTGATGCCAATCGTGGTGGTAATGATGGTTGATGGCAGTGTTGATGGTGATGATGGTGGTGTTGGTGGTGATGGTGGTGATGGAAGCGTTGGCCGTGGTGATGAGGTTGAGAATGGCCATGAGGGTGGTAGTAACCGCACTGTTGATGGAGATGGTGGTAGAGATGGTCATGTTGGTGGTGCCAGTGTTGATGGCGATTATGTGGTGATCATGATGCCAGTGTTGATAGTGATGGTTGTGTTGGTGATGCCAGTGTTGATGGTGATGGTGGTAATGTTGGTCGTGATGAGGGTGAGAATGGTGGGGCTTAGGTTGGCAACACCAATGATGGTGGTAATGATGGTGGTGCCAGTGTTGATGGTGGTGATGGTGGTGTTGGTGGTGTTGGTGGTGATAGTCGTCTTGGCCGTGGTGATGAGGTTGAGAATGGCCACGAGGGTGGTGGTAATCACACTGGTGATGGAGATGGTCATGTTGGCATTGGTGGTGTTGGTGGTGCTTATGGTAAAGGCAGTGTTGTTGGTGATGATGATGGGTGAACGGTACTGATGGTGATGCTAGTGTTGATGGGGATGGTAGTAACTTTGGTCGTAATGAGGGTGAGGATGGTGGGGCTTAGGATGGCAGCGCCAATGATGGTGGTAATGATGGTGGTGCCAGTGTTGGTGGTGATGGTGGTGTTGGTGGTGATCATGATGGCGATGCCAGTGTTGATGGTGATGATGGTGGTGTTGGTGGTGATGGCAGCATTGGCTGTGGTGTTGAGGTTGAGAATGGCCATGAGGGTGGTGGTAACTGTACTGTTGATGGAGATGGTGGTAGAGATGGTCATGTTGGTGGTGCCAGTGTTGGTGGTGGTGGTGGTAATGTTGGTTGTGATGAGAGTGAGGATGGTGGGGATTAGGATGGTAACGCCAATGGCGGTGGTAATGATGGTTGATGGCAGTGTTGGTGGTGATGGTGGTGATAGCCATCTTGGCCGTGTTGATGAGGTTGAGAATGGCCATGTGGGTTGGTGGTAACCGCACTGGTGATGGAGGTGGTTGTGTTGGCATTGGCGGTGTTGGTGGTGCTTATGGTGAAGGCAGTGTTGTTGGTGATGATGGTGGGTAGGTGATGTTGGTGATGCTAGTGTCGATGAGGACGGTGGTAATGTTGGTCGTGATGAGGGTGAGGACGGTGGTTCCATCATGATGAAGGTGAGGACGGTGGTGTGAAGGGTATTAATGGTGAGCACGCAGTTGAGAA